AAAGAAAAGAAAAGAAAAGAAAAGAAAAGAAAAGAAAAGAAAAGAAAAGAAAAGAAAAGAAAAGAAAATTTACTGCAATTTTGTTTTATGCAGCAATTAAGGAAAAAAAATTGTTACAAGATTTGCCACTCATTGTTTCACAAATGTCTACTGTTAACAGTACATTCAGTGAATGTGGAAAATTGTATTCTCACAGAAGAAATTGACTAGATTAAAAACAAATATAAAATATACCTACAAGGTCACAACAGCAAACACTAACAAATAACCTTATTCTCATCCATTTATTATATCTCCATGTACAGAATTACTGTGTAGCCATTTGAAAAAAAATGAGTATTCACTCTCTTAAAATCTTAAATCTCTCCTAAAATCAATTCTTTGGTTTTTTTTCTCTCTCAGAATCAAACCTAGAATTTCATGCATACTAAGGAAGCACTCAAGATTGATTTATAAACCTAGCCCCCAAATCAAGTTCTTATACATTATGCATTGTATAACTGTTTCAATCATTTATACAATGTATAATAATCCATACAATGTATAAATAATAATTTATACATATGAAAAGAAAAGGTACAAAAAGATAACCAAGGTAAGTAATTATGGTTACCTTGACAATCGTGAAACTATTTTAAATTTTGGTTTAAAAATACTTCTGGATCACTTCTCAGCCTTTTGGCTAAGATCAAGTGTAAAAATACTTCTGGATTACTCCTGGAAAAAAAAAAATCCAATATATTCACATATCTTTTCAAGACTATATCCGCCATACATTTTGAGATATATTTATTTCAAAGTAGATATATGTTAATTTTACCTTGCTAGGCCACCATAATCAAGTCCTTCTTCTCCTCTAAATATTACATATAATCGTCTCCTCAAGTCATAGGGTTTTAATGCCATAATCTGATTAAAACAAAAACATGAATATTTAAACAGTCATATATACCACAAATTATTTCCAAAACAATTTAAATTTAACCTATATTTTAAAAATAATACATTTTCTTGTCTCATAGTGTCTTTAACTCAAGAAATCTATTTCTTTGTTCCATGGACTAGATAAAGACATAGATCAATCTATGATACTTTCTTTGACTCATTTTTATATGCTCTCTTTCTCCTGTCAGTATTAAATGGTAGTTCCACTTTGGGTTAGTAGTGAGAAGAAGAGTATCATGCACAAACCTTTTAAGTTTACAAAATATTTTCTTCTCTCTCACTCTCAAAAACTGTACCAAGATCGTTTTAATAGGTAACTTATATATTTTTCTGGGTAGCAAACGGCAAAAGAACTTATACCACACATTCTATTTCTTAGTAGGAAAGAACTCTTTTATAATCATTTATATCGTGATACATTTGTATACAGAATAATGTATCTTAAAACCTGCACCAAAATTTTCATAATCCTTAACAGCTAACACCAAGGTTACTAGTGGGTAGGCTTTATTTTCAGTAACAAGGCGTTACTTCCTCACACATATGTCAGAACACAGCCAAGAATGGAAGGTCTAGGTCAGAGCACAGCTCACCAAGAGGGCTTCTCTGGGGCAGTCATGGGCTCAACTGCTTGTGTTCAATAAAAGATCGCGATTCTCCTCAAGACAGCAAAAGGCAAAATAAAGTCTGCCATGAATTTGGATGTATATTTACTAAAGTCAACTCAAATACAGCTTGAAACAAACTGCTTGGAAGCTTGAAACATGTATTTTGCTAAGAATTTACTACCAAGCTTCCCTGACAAAAGAAAAGTTCTGATAAAAGCTACGTTAACTATCTTGTCCAAAGTTTAACAGCTAGTAAAATTAAGCAGGATTTCAATGTTATTATTTCATTTTTGCCTGTATAAAGAATAAATTAAACTCCCTATGTATCTAAGTACACAGAGAAGTTTTGTTCATTATTTTTCTACTTTGGAAGGGAAAAATACATATACAGAAAATTCTCCACTTCACTATAAAAAATGAACAGTATTCTGATTTTAAACATTCTGCAGGTGATTAAGGAAAAGTAGACATATACTATGCTTGGACAAGGTTGCTTTTAAAAAGATACATAAAAGTGAGAATGAGCATTAACATTGTTAACTGAATAGTCAAATTGAATACAGTATTTATCAATTTATTTTGTTAATTTTATCAAACTTCTTTTAGAAGTAGTGCTAAAAGAGATCAACTTGTTCCAAAAGTTGTGATAGAATGATCCTCTCAATAGCAGTAGCACTACCTAAAAAGAGACAATTATAGAAGCTACACCTCAAAGGGATGATGTGAGGATGAGATAACTATTAAGATGCTGGTGCCAAGCAAATGACAATCCCTCAACACATAGTGAGGTTTATAATAGTATAACTATTATTAAAATGGTTATCAAGATGTGGTAGTCATTATTATTCTTAAAATTTCTAAACCTCTAAACTCTAATTACCTTTAGCTGTGTAGAATAAAATGAGGTGCATAGTATTGTTTATTTTGATAAAATCTTCCTTACCTGTTGAAAAGAATCTTCAAATAATGTCTGCCGGGACACATTGATCTTTACATGACTGGGTAATGCATTAGACTAAAAACAAAAATATATCAAACATAAGCCATAGTATATACATAGTATAAAGATATGACTAAATGATTATAAAGATAAGATTTATTTACCACTATAGTACCTGGCACAAATAACGGAAGTGAGCAAGTTTCCACCTAAAGCTGCGCTCATAAGCAATCTGTGGACCACCCTTAGTTCTAAAGAAAAACAGAAACAAACATTAATTTATAATAAAATAAACCTTTAATATTACTATGAAACCGAAATGTACCAGAGTCCTATATAAAGCCAAGGAAAGTTAAGTCATATGCCGGAAGAGGAATAAAGGTACATTTAGTGGGTCAATAGAGACTTTAGCCAGGACGGGTGCATTACAGCAACAGAACCACACATGGAGGGGGAGACTACATGATTAGCTAGGTCTTTGTTAAGCAGTTAACTGAAATGTTACAGGCTACTGCAGACTATTTGACAATCCTTAAAATCCAAGGACAGAGACTCCAAACAAAAAAGACATGGAAAGAAATTGTACAACATCTTAAAACTAATCTGAACAAAATACATACTGCTTGAGATAATAAGTAAAGCAAAATCAAATTCCCAGGAACAGGTGACATTCAAGTCACGACTCAGATGGTTAGAGGGAGAAAAGACAGAATGTAGACTTTGCATTATGGTTCAACTCAAAGTGAGAGGGCAAGTGTCTTGCCTCCTGAGTGATAGTCTAACACATGGGCACAAAAAAACTTCTACAATCATAGAGAACATTTTAGAATAGATGAGAAATGTTCCCTTGTGGTGTTACATTCAAATGAATTCATTTAACCAACAGATATTTACTGAACACACAGCATGCACCAGGAGTTCTAGGCAGTGAAAGCATTACTTATTAATGAGATAGATAAAGCTAACTATTTTGTGGAACTTATTACACTAGTGAAAGACAAACAAGCAAGTATAAATGTGTAATTATACATGGTATGTGTCAGAATGGGATGTTTAATCACTCCCTTTAAAAGAAATAGCCTTGGGGCCAAGGATTTAGCTCAGTGGTTCCGCCACCTGCTTTGCAAGCTCAAGGGCTGGAGTTTGATCCCTGGTACAAAAAAATAAAAAAGAAATGGCCTTGTTAAAAGGACAAATGATAAGTGGTATGGGGAGAATAATTCTGCAGTTGTGAAAAGGGTTAACATATTAGCATTCATAGAAGACTTAACATTTGAGCACAGACATAAAAGGCAAAGAGGGCATAACTCATATAAATATTTAGAGAAAGAACATTCCAAGCAAGGGAATAAGGGCTGATTCAGAATGGAAGCTTAAGATGTTCAAGGTACGGCTGGGTGACCAAGTGAAGTTACTGCAGAGTTAATGAGAAGGGAAAAATGAGCTAAGAGGTCACAGGGTCTGATTGTATGTGTTACACAGGCCACTGTAAAGTCTGCTTTTTACCATGCTTGAGATGGAAACCACTGAAGGGTTTGTGCTACAGAATATTTAGATTTTTTTTTTAATGAAACTAGTCTCAGTGCTACCTCAAAAATCACATAATGTTATATAAAGTGTCAAGAGAAAGCAAACAGACAGTGGACTCTGGTACCACTCCAGGTGAGAGAAAGTATTAGCTTGGACCACAGCGGTGATACTGGAAGTTGTGAAATGTAACTGGACTCTGGATATGAACTCAAATTGACACAAGACGACAGGATAAATACTAGTTGGGGTAGCAGATATGAAAGAATTTGAAAAAGACTTTATGTGACTTATTCGCTTTTCTAGCGATATAAAAACATCACACCTAAGAGTTAAGGATGAAGAGAGATTTGCCAACTTCTTAACTAAGGAATCCACCTGGAAATTCAGTTTTGCTCCATGTCTCATTTCCTGTTGTTGCAGTGGTATGATGTGGTAGCTAAGAGCAGGCTTTGGAGATGGACTTCCTTGGCTTGGAACCAGCTCTATTACTTGCCTTATGACTCAGTAGTTAGGTACGTTCACTACACCTGTTTCCTTACTTGCTAAAGAGGAAAATAAAAGTATCTATCTCAAGGCATTACTTGAAGATAAAATGAGCTAATACATATATGTTTGCCACTGTTATTATATGTTATATATAATATAAATAATTAAGACATTACACGCCACAAATCCGTTCTGGAATAAAAGCAAAGATAGGTGCACTATGATACTACTTTCTGAATAAAAAAGCAGCATTTACGGAGGACTTCAGGTTTTCACTTACACGGATGACTTCCCATTGCGAGGATCTTTGAATGTTGTTGTTCTTGTGTTATGATCAACAAAGTACCTAACACCTTCCCGAGTATACCTAATTTCCCAGCCTTCTGGCAAGGGTTCTTCATTCTGCAAACTAAAACATAACCACAGGTTAGTCCTGTCTAGGCACTCAAGGCTCACTGATTCTATCTGCAGATACATGATGACGACGTATGGAAGGCTGTAGTGTATATACATACCCTTGAGTTCTTGGGTCTTCCCATTGAGTTGTTTTTGTGTTATGATTCACAAAGTACACCCTGTCTGTTGAATCCACTCTTTTTTCTAAAAATAAAATGAGTATAACATTTAATGCCTATTTGATATTAATATACATTTTACAGATATTTTTACCAACAAAGTATCAGCTTACCCCAGCCAGGTGGCAAAGGTCCATATGGGTCGTTTTCTGCAGCTAACATTGAAGCCTGATTGGTAAAGGCATTGGAGTGAAAAACAAAATAACAGTATTTTAATATAAAAACAGAAGATAAGCACTTGGCAGAGTCACACTTTAAAAATTTTAAAAATATGATAAAGGAATAAAAACTAATTCTGAGACATCAAGTTCTACACATGTCATGAGGCAAAAGCATTCAACCAACTGATCAAATTATTTATTTTTCTTAAATAATTTAGAATAGGGGCTGGGGATTTGGCTTAGTGGTTCCAGAGCCTGCTCTGCAAGCGCAAGGTCCTGAGTTTGATCCCCAGTACCAATAACAACAACAACAACAATAATAATTTAGAATATATTTTATCAATATTTTTAATCTCCAACTTCTTCCATAATAATCTAACATGGATGAAAAGCACATAGAAAATTATTGTATTTAAACAAGGGAATATTATTTACTTGACATAAAACAAATGCCACAGTGCTCTATAAAACAAATGTCCACTAGGGCCGGGCATCTAGCTCAGTGGTTCCACTGCCTACCTCACAAGCACAAGGATCCAAATTTGATCCCTGGTACCAAAGAAACAAAACAAACAAACAAAAAACACCAAAAGACAAAACTAATGTTCAATAAAACCAGTAACTTTAGAATCATCTTTACAAAAATAAACTTTTATCTTTTACTTAGTAACTTTTGTATATTTATATATAAAAACAATTTTTATGTACGCACACACATAATAATTAGATGGCTGGACAGACCACAGCTATCTTCCTTCTCAACCGCCCTTTGTATTTTTTTATGTTCTAGCCCCTGGAAGTGAGGCTCAGAGAGCATCAGCTCTACATGGCATGATGCACAGTAAGGACAGATGAGCTAAGAGGCAGAGACAATTTGGGTATTTGATGGCACTGCTGAGCCAATGTAGCATTTGTCCTCGACCCCAGATTTGCTGTTGTATTGAAATATCTAAAACTCATTTCTCTAAAGGGAACTCCTACCTGCAGAAACATATCTGATTCCTAATTGCTGTTTCCCAAAGGTTTTTTCACATACAGCTAAGTGATACAGAAACAAAAATCTACATAGCACATAATTTTTTATGTGCTATATACACTCCAATTCCTAATCTGAAATTCTTCAAAAATGCTTATATATATATCAGAAACATTTATTAAAGATTAACTAAAAAAACAATCTTGAAATGCATTCTTGAAAATCACCGGAGTAGAAAATGATAAATGCCTGAGGGACCAAGGTGTATTTATAATCACCGAATAGAGGTATCTCTGGTTGAACTGTTGCATAGCTCCCTGCAGCTGGTTCCGCTGAGACTGCCACTGTTCAAAATTTCGAACAGATTCCATGGTAGGCCGCTGCCACGTCGTTGTTCGGGTGTTATGATCCACATAATAAACCCTTCCACGATCATCAACTCTTCTTTCCCAACTATCACAAATAAAATAAGCAATAAACAAATTAAATAATATTCCTTCAATAAAAGAAACAAAGACAGTTAATACTTCACTCAAATCATTTAAAAATCAGTCCAAGACATGATAAAAGAACTGAAAAAATATTTATTATTCTAATAATTTATAAAACTATGAAATATATATTTTAGCTAAATTACCTTTCTATCACTAACATGACTTCTAAAGACTGCTTTACAAAGAGATGACTGATTCTACAATTTCAGTTTCAACCCTACTTTCCTCCTTTTTTTGATAAGGATTTACTAAGAGCTTACTTAAGTTCCAATTTGTTGTTTGACCACTGCCCATTTTCAAAAATCACCTCAACTCTTTTTGTTGCTTTGTAACTCACCTTCCTGATATTGTACTCCTGCAAGTTATCTTTCTGAGGTGCAGATGGAATCATGTCCTTCTACCCACTACAGCGATGTGGTGTGGCATGAAAATGAACCCACACATTTACAACCATTATATGGAATTTATTTCACTAAAACTACTGTCCAGAAATTTGGTGGGGACTATCTTAAATTTTATCACAAGAGTTTATTGTATTATGCTGTATTAAATAAACTTAAAAAGTTTACTCATGTGATTTCAAACACACTCACACACACACACACACACACACACACACACACACACACGTGATAAAAATACAACTAAAGATATATAAATATACTACATTACCCTGGAGGTAAAGGTTGTGGTCTCTCCCATGTGGTAGTTCGAGTGTTATGATCTACATAATAGGTTCTACCATGAGGATCTTTTCTCTGTTCCCACCTTTAATAAAAGTACAAATTAAAGAGAAATAGATTAGGACAATGTGAATCAGAAAAATTAAAAATAAGTCTTAATTCACATAGCTCACACACACACACACACACACACGATAAAGGTATAAAGATATTTGTTTTATCAATTGTTTGTGGTTTTTAACCTCACAATTATTCCCTCTTTGTAATGGTACTAGGATCTCAAACATTACTCGTTAATAGAGAGGGGATGAATACCTAAAATTTTTAAGTTACTAGTTAAAAAATTTCCAAATTACTAGAAAACAGAAAATATAATCAAGCCCAAGCCACAGACATTAAGTAATATCCATTTCACCTAGAATTTTTAAAAAATACACATGTAAAAGATTTTTTTTTACATGACAACTTCTTTGTGACAATTCTTTGACCTTTGTGCACAGTTTCTTACTATGCACATCCATCCTGTTCTTGGTTTTTGTAGGTCTTTGAATTTATGGACATCACAATTTTATCTTTTTTCTGTTCTGTGTCAAAGATGCCCCATCTTTTATTTTCTGCACTCTACTTTTCTTCTTTAGGATCCCTGCTTTTTCTTCTCTACTAATTAATATACTGAAGAAATAATATAAAAATAAAATCTGTTTTTTTTAGTTTAACCTTGTTTTTAATTTTGGTAAAACAAGTTGAAAATACTTTACTTTCACTTCAACACAGAAGCCCAGTTAAATTTAAGTAATTCTCAAAGGCCTTAGATTATTGTTTTCCTTAGATTATCTTCATATACTAAGGTCATATACAAGCTACTGATATTCAGGCTACTCCCTAAATTAGGTTGCACCTGCCTATACAGGCACAAAATAATAATGTGTTTAAGCTACCTCTAACAAACCTAAGTCACAAAAGGTTTAAGTCAGTAAATAGGAGCAATAAAGATCCTTCAAGTTCATAATTACTCAGAATCACAGAAATTATTACACTTAAGATTTTTAAAAATCACTGTGGTATAAACTCTATATGAACATTCATGTTATTCTGCACTGAACAAAATGTAGACAATCCTTTGAAAGCATTTCAACAGAAATAACCTGGAAGCTCATGTTTACTTTGTTTCAATTAAGAAAGATCACAGGGAGAACAAAACATGAAATTTCATTTTAAAGGCATTTAAGAACTAGATGTTACATACATCTATATCAATGAGCTATTTATCTATATGGAAGCTTAAGTAGCAAAATCAAATGAATACCTAAAAATTTGATCAAGTTTCATTGAAGTATTTCTTAGTGGTACTTTTGCTATTTTTAGGTATTAATTTCCATAATCAGTCCTTAATACTGATATTCTATTGCAACACTCCCTGATTTCAACTCTTTCTGCACAAATATCCTTTAATATTTTAAATTTATCTTTACCTTTTATCTACCCTCATAGTTAAATAATTACATACACCTTAACACCGTTTAAACTGTCATGTTGTCTGCAAAAAACAATGCCTACTGTTTCTTTCATTTTCCACTCTGCAAAGGCAACATTTTCCAAAGTTTTAGTCTATTCTTGTGGCTGGCTTTGAACTTACTATGTAGCCTAAACTGGCCTCCAACTGGCAGCCATCTTCCTATCCCAACCGCCTGAATGCCATGGTTATATGTATGCACCACATGTCTGGCTACTTCTATTTCTTATTAATGTGCTTAACTTACTACTACTTACTTAGTTTCAAATATAATATACTGACTTCTCAATATGAAAGATAAAGGTACAGGTTTCTTTTCCTCAACATAATACAACACTCTCCTTCTAACTGTTCCAAATGAGTTTACATAGGTAATAGTTATAATGCAAGGTGATATAACTTATAACTGTTATCTATATAAACTCTCCTGACTCTGAGCCACAGAATATGCCATGATTTCTTTTTTTAAAAAGCACTTCTAGCTAGAATAACTCGCTAAACTCTCCTTTACTTATTTTCTATGTATTTATGAATGAAATCTCTGGAACTTTTCCAGTAGCATAGATACTCCACCGGAATGTTCAATCTCATTGATACCCTTGTGTTCCTTTTTCTTTTTCCTTTAATACCCCTGAGTTCTAATGAGCTTTGTCTAGAGGAAGTGCAAGGCCACTGCCAGGCCAGTGAGTGCTTTCCCTCACCATGGATCCACCCATTCCTTTGACTCCTCTCTTTGCAGACCCCCTTACTTCCTGAATCCCAGATCTTTCCCTTCCATTCCCCAGTTCTGAAGAAACATTAAATTTTAGTTTCCTAGAAAGAAGACAGAAGTAAACTTTAAAGAGTGTGATCATGTATTTATTTATGCACACACTCAACAGTATAGTTGGATATAGAATTCTAGTTTGCATATAATTTCCTTGAACATCTATATGGGTGATTAAAAAACAGGGTGAATCATTTTTCAAAGATATATTACAATGAAAGATATATCACCATTAGCCCTCTCAAAATACTCCCCCTTGCTTCAGACACACTTATCCAATTGTTCTTGTCACTATGTGAAGCAGTTTTGGAAATCCACTTTTGGGTCTTTAGTTGAGCTCTCACAGCTGCCTTAATGTCCTGAATCAATTCAAAATGTTTACCTTTTATGATCATCTTGACTTTGGGAACAGCCAGAGAAGTCAGTGTCAGATCTAGTGGATAGGCTAGATGATGTGTTATGGTTTATATGTGTTGTGGGCCTTGGGGCGGTGATTAGATTATGGGGGCTACAGCTGAAGAGGCAGGTCACTGGGGACATCTCCCTCCCTGGCTCATCCCTCCTCCACTTCCTGGCTGCCATGTTATTAACAGGTTTCTTCCACCAAGCCCTTCTGCCATGCTGATGAGCGTGCAAAGACAGAACCTTCTGAAAATAAACCTCTCCTACTTCAACTTGGTGTCAGGTATTGAGTCCTAGTGACAAAGATATGAGGAAATACCATGACATTTTATTTGGCAAAAATGACCATAAAAGACATGATGGGTGAAGTGGAACTCTGGAGAATGAAACCATTTGCTCGTTTCTTAGGTATGCCTTTTTCTATACTCATCATTTCTTAACCGCTATCATAAGCCCTTATAATATTCAGAGTTCACCATAGTGTTTGTGGGTATAAACAGCTAGCACAATTTCTTCAAGGCAAAAAAAAAAAAAAATACATTTAACACCACTGTGATGTTGAATCTTGATTGATGTGCTTGTTTTTGCATGAGAATTGGGGGACTTCTATTGAGAACTCTGAACCATGATCTCAGGCTTATAACCACAGACTCAAGCTTCATCTTCTGTGATGACATTTCTTAAAAAGCTGGAATCTGAAGCTGCCCAATAGTGTAACTCCAATGAAATTGGCAAAATTTCATGTTAATGATCCATGATTTATAGCACACTTTAAAACACAACTTCTTGCAACTATAGCTCACACCCAGAATCCCCTTTCCATATTCACAAAGTCTACTTTCCCTGTTTCCTATCATCTCTCTTTATTTTGCTCTTTAAGTTATTTATATTTCAGGTTTCTCTTAGAATCCATGTAATATTTAACTTTCTGTGTTTATTTTGCTTAGCATTATATCTTTAATGTACATCCATTTTCCTAAAAATGACTCATATTTATCCTTTATGTAGGATACTCTAGTGTGTGTGTGTGTGTGTGTGTGTGTGTGTGTATACATACCACATTTTCTATATCTATTCATCTGTTCATGGGCAGGTAGGCTGTTTCTAAGATTTAGTTATGATGTGCTGCATAGCTATAAACACGGGTATGATACATCCCTGTAACATAGTGTCTTTAACTATTTTGGGAAGATAACCAAAACAGGTTTAGCTGGGTCAAAGAGAAACTCTATTTTTAATTTTCTAAGGATTCTCCATGTTGATTTTCCACAGTGATTGCACTAATTTATATCTCCAGTAACAATAAAAAATTCCTTTTTTCCTACAACCTCTCCAGCATTTGTTTGGTTTACATTTGCATTTGTCTAAGAGCCAAAGATGATAAACACTTTTTTATGTACCCATTGGCCATATATATTTCTTCATGTGAAGTGTCTCTTCATTTTGAATGCCCATTTTTTGACTGGGTCTGCAATTAAGGGGATAACTTTGGGAGGGTTCTTTTAGGGGGATAAGTTTTTGAGTTCCTTATATATTTTAGATATTAGTCCTCTGAGGAGTAGCTAACAATTTTTTTTTACTATTGTGTTTGTCTCTTCACTGTTATTTCTTTGTTGTGCAGAAGGTTTTTAATTTGATGTAGTGCCATTTGTTGATTGTGGTGTTACTTGTTGAGCAATTAGGGTTCTGTTCATAAAGTCCTTGCATATATCCATGTCTTCAAGAGTTTTACCTATTTTATCTTCCAGCAGATTTTCTATTTTAATATCTAGTCTTTAATATTAGGTTAAGAGATATGGGTAGTTTCATTCTTCTACATGTGGATAACCAGTTTTCCTAGAATCATTTATTAAAGAGGAATTTTTTTTTCAATGTTTATTTTTGGTTCCTTTGTCAAAGATCAGATGGCTGAAGGTGCCTAGGAATGTTTCTTCACCCTCTATTTTTGTGCCAGTACCATGCTGCTTTTAATTACCATAGGTTTGTAATAAACTTGAAATCCATGATTATACACTTCCTGATTTGTTGCCCAGGATTACTTTTGCTATTCTGGGACTTTTCTGGTTCTATATAAATTTTAGGATTTTTTTTCTAGTTCTGTGAAGAATGCTATTTGTATTTTGATTGGGATTGCATTAAATCTATGTATCATTTTAGGTAAGTTGCCCATTGTGACAAAATTGGTTCTGCCTATTCAGAACAGTGGATGGCATTTCCAATGTCTGATGTGCTCTTCAATCTTTTTCAGGGCACCGCCGTTTTCATTATAGAGGTCTTTCACTTCTTCCCTGGTTAGGTTAATTTCTGTGTGTTTAATTTTTTTTTTTAACTACTGTGAATGGGAATGCTTTCCTGATTTCCTCTTCAGCAGGTTCCTTGTTGGTATTCAGGAATGTCACTGATTTTTGTTCGTTAATTTTGTACCCTGCTACTTTGGTGAATATAAGAATCACGTCATCTATAAGGAGAGTTTGATTTCTTCCTTTCCTATACATACTCCATTTATTTCTTTTTCTTGTTCTAGCTAAACTTTCCAGTATGATATTGAATGGGAGCGGTCAGAGTGAATACTCTTGTTCTTGTTTTTAGAAGAAATACTTTGTTTTTCCCCATTTAAAATGATGTTCGAATATAAGTTTTCGAAATAGTCTTTCTTTCTTTCTTTCTTTCTTTCATTTATTTATTTATTTGATATTGGGGATCCAACTTGGGACCTTGTGCTCCTTTTTTCTGAAATAGTTTCTTATAATTCTCTCAATTTCAATGGTGTCCCTTGTGATTTTACTTAGTTCTAACTGTATCTACATAGGCTTTTTTCTTTCCTTCTGTTGGTAAGTTTGGCAAAGAGTTTATCAATCTTGCTCAGCCTTTCAAAGAAACAACTCTGATTCAATGATCCTTTGTATTGAAATGCTGATCATAACCTATCAATAGGATGTAACTCATGATCTAAAAAAACCTATCGAAATTACTGCAAATTTGCCTAGTAGAAAAGATCACAAGTGGTGGCAAGAGGCATGCTGAAGCACTTATTTGGCCCCACAGAATTAAGCTTATGTATTTACTATTTTAAACCAGAATGCCTACTTCCTGCACAATAAAACAACCTGTCTGCTATTTAACTCCTTAAATCCTAATCTGTCCATAATTACTGTAAGCATGGTCTTCATAGATTAAAAAAAAATGACTATATCAGTTTTTGTGTGTGTGTGTGGCAATACAGATCAAACCCAGGGCCTTCACACTGAGCCACATCCTGAACACTTTTTTATTTTTGAGACTGGATCTTACTACAATTGCCCAAGCTGGGCTTGAACTTGCAATCCTCCAGTCTGTTTCCCAAAATGCTGTGATTACACGTGTGTGCCACACAGCAGGCTCTAAAATTATGTAGTGTTTATTCATGCTTTTCAGGAAAAACTCCTCCTAAACCTTTGGCAAACATACAAAATTCTTCATAGGACTGTTTATGCTTCAGCAATATATTCCTTGCTTCTGGAAATGCTGAATTTAAAACTATAACAAAATACTAATTCCTGAGTTCAGTATACTCATTTTATGGATGCTAGAGATACGCTCTTCTGAGAAAAAAGAGCCTCCATTATTTGTTTTGCAAATTTCTACTCTTCTTTCAGAAACCCACTTAAGAGTCATTCTTTGACCTCAACAGTGGAAGTTATTCCACTTCTCTACTCTCTGCATGTTCCGTCCCCACAGCATCCTAAATGTACCGATGGCACAACTTTAACTGAACTGTATTGTAGTCACTCACTGTTTACCCCTCTTTAGACAATGAGGTTCTTTCACGTCTGTATCAGAGTAAGTGGCAAAGGGAAAACATGGATAAATGATTAAACTGCCAAACACAGACACAAGACAAGAGATTTCTGAGGGAGAAGTAGAAGGTAACATAGGGACTGAAGTATCTAGTGGAAACAAAAGAGGATCTCCACAAAGAACTGAAAATAAGCTTAGAGAAAGGTCTGGCCTAGACATATATAGATTTAACTGCTATATAAAGACTTAACTGCTACACAGAACACAAAATCTACCCAGGTAAGCACATATGGGAGAAAGACGAAGGCTGAAACCACAACAACATGGTGGGTAAGACCCAATGAGCCAGTAAAGATCAGTGAAAAAGTATTCCAAAAATAAGGAAGTATGAATAGTTACTGTGATGAAAAAAGAGAAGGCAGAGACTAGAGATCTCTAGGCAGTTTCATTCTGACTACTGCAAGCTGCATTTAAAGTACTCTGTCTACATATACTCTCAGACTATACTGACTATAGACATTTTCAAGTCTAAACCTATACATAAGCTTCTTAAAGGTAGAAACAATGATTATTATTAGTAGTATCAGTGCCAAGCAGCACCAAAAAAAAGTTAAGCAAATATGGAAGAGATGACCAAAAGGGATTCACATGTTACAGAATATTAAGAAAATCACAAGGATCTAAATAATTCCAGAGGGAAACTTAAAGAAGTTAAGAAAAACTAAGTAGCAATAAAAATCTCCATTTGTACTAGAGTCAGTTGCAGGCTTATGTTATTATCCTCAGCACTCTATATTAATTGAGGAAGGAATGGCCAGCTGTTCTCAAATGTCAAGGGATACAAAGCAGATCATATGGGAAGCTAAAGAACTATAGTTATTGCACAGAATACCATGGTCACTTTAGCTAAAAAGTAAAAATCAAATCAAGAGGGTATTATAATAATAAACAGATCAGCTTTTTCTTTTCCCTTTATATTATGTGTACTTCAGCTAGATAAGCAATTGCTTTTAGTTCCAAAAGTATTTGTGTTGGAACAAATAAATAGTATGAATCATATTCCAATTTAGATTTCAAATTTCTGAATAACAGAAATATATTATATACATATTCCATAGTCACGTATCATCAAAAGTTGCTACTTATAGAAATCAAATGCTCAAGAATTTTTAACATACCCCGATGGCAAAGATTCTGTGTTGGTATTTCCAGACTGCTGTCGTACAGGTTCCATACACCCATCTGGCTGCCTAATTTTGTCAAAAGCAGAATTACTTCCAGAATTAGAGGAGTCAGGGTCTAATATGCTCCTAGCTCCAGATTCTGCGCTTGAGGAAGGAACACTTTCACTGTGTTCTGAGGAAGCCACTATCTCTTGAATGGGAGGATCTTCTATGGTAGCACTAGGGCAATTTGAAGTTAAAGAGGTTTCTTCAGATGCTACAGGAATATCCACGGCAGAAGCATTGTCATTCGGTGCAGATGAGGATGATTCTCTATTAACTGAAAAGGGAAAATTAGTATAAGATGATCCATGAAGTAACAACAAAGAGACTGATTACCTAATCAATGAACTACACTTCTTCAAAGCCTAATTCAGACTGAACAGTGCAAAACACTGATGAACATAAAATAGGACAGAAATTATATTCCTCATAGCTCACTTTAAGGGATGAATGTATAAATGACAAAAATTACATATATTTTATTTATATATTATATATTCATAACATGTTTATACTATATATTTATACATACTTTTATTTTATATATACACACATATATAAATAACCCTAACTTCAGGAAAGAGAAGCCAGCATTTGGAGAAGAAATGCTTTTCATCAATTTTTGAGATAAAGTCTCCATGAGTTATACTAAATTTTAAAATGATCCCTCTTGATGTCCTTTTTTATATATAAATGGTAGCTAATAAGATTTTTAAAAACTTTTGTCTAGTAGGAGAAACACAATGGCATTAATCTTTCAAACAGTACTACAGAAGACCACAAAAAGATCCAGGAGCCTATTCTATACTTCCTGAAGAAATAACCCATCTCTGAAATCCAGTGAGTTTTCTTAATTTTCATTTTAAGTGTAACTGATGCACTTCAACTATGTACCACTAGAAAAATGAGTCAAATTAAAAGTGCAAGGAGAAAAGATGACTGAACAAAACCTATAAAAGGTTACACATCAAAGTTCTAATTGAAACAACGGAGGGAGACAGACTAAGGAAATCTTCAGGTAATTTTTTAAAGAACAAGATTTAAATGGTAAAAATGGGAAAAGGGTATACTATCAAGGGATCAAATGCTATGAGAAAGGTAACAGAATAAATCAAGCACTGTACCAAACATTGAGGAGAGAATGGCTGGCGGATTGGTTTAAAAAAAAAATCAACAAAAAAACATTTACACAGAGCTACCTCATACCCAACACTGTTAAATATCACGAGAAACAGACTGCAGAAAGGCTGATTTCTCAATTCTTCATGATATTCATTTACAAGCACTATTTCACTGAATTTGTATTCCCTTCATGATGTGGAATTAACTCCTATGAAAGAACTATCAATAGTAGTTCCAAGGCAAAACAATATCAACAATGAAACACACTAAATAGTTTTTAGAAAAGGTACAAACCAGTCCAAGAAGAAACAGTCATAAACTCTTGCACACACTAAAACACAGCACATAAAACACAAACTGTTAAAACCAAAGAAGATCAAACATAAAATTTCACTAGTCAGTCAAGGCAAAACTTCTCTTCCAAATGTTATGTGATTGAACAGCGATGCTCTCAGCAATTCTCTCATCTGTCTTTACCACTCTACCCTGTTCCTTTCTATCTTGCTTATACCACTGTTACAGTTTCTTAATTGTCTCCGAACCTCCTCTTGTTCAAGTACAATCTATTCCAACAGTGGCTGAAGAAATCCATTAAACAGATCTTTTCACTCCCCTGATTAAACATACAAATGGTGTCCTATTGCAAAGTGGAATAACTACTAATGTCTTTAATACAACTGTAACAAAGTTCTATACAGGCCAGTTCACAGCTAATCTGACCTCTCATGAGGGTTGTCTTTTTGTTCCTTGAGTAGAAAAACTCCACACTTCAGGAATGTGCACTTACTTTTCCTATAGTCTCAGAATATTTCATAAATGGGGAGGGAAGGAGGGGGTGAAGGGAGGGCAGGGACAAGGGGAAAAAATGAGAACCAAGACCTGTCATGTAAAGATACAAGATCCTAATAACGAATGTAAATTTACTGTATACCTAAAATGTACCAATAAACTTAATTTAAAAAAAAGAATATTTCATGACTTGATCTTTTTCATCATTTCCAGTCCACTCTCATCATGCATTCAGAAAAGCAGCCCTAGGTTTCTTATGTAATGTTGCACATGTCCTGACATTTTACTCAATATTACAATTCTTTTTTTTTCCCTCTTGTTCTGAAATAATTTAATTATTTTGTTCATTTTTCATTAAGATTGAAGTGTAAAATCTTGGGCAAACTTGTCCACTCTTGTATTCCTAATCATGCTTAAACACTACATTGTTAGAGAAGTTGACATGTACAAAAACAAGAGTTTGGATTTCCAGTTGTACAATCAGGTGGGTATATCCTGACTATAATTCAAAAAAATTGAAAGCAGAGTAAAATGTAACTTATTGAAATATTTGTTAAAAGTCTGGCAACCGGATCCACAATTTTTAGATTATCTTATTTACTCCTCACAATACAATGCTCTGATGCAGACACCAGGAAATTCACATTTTATAGGTCAGAAAACTGATTCTCATATGTTCATTAAAATGATAATTTGCCTGTAATCCTAGCACTCTGAGAGGTTGAGGCAAGTGGATAGAAAGTTTGAGCCCAGTCTAAATTTAGTGAATTAGTAAGACCCTGCCTCATAAAAAAAAAAAAAAGAGAAGGGGAGGGGAGAGAGGAAGGGAGGAGAGGAAAAGGGGCAGGGGTGTAGTTTACTACAAAGGCCCTGGGTTTAATCTCTAATATTACAAAACAAACAAACAAACAAACAAACAAAAAGGCCATATGCCTAGCTTGGAGAACAAAATAAATACAATAAAATAAACACAGTAAAATAAAATTACTAAGCTGAAGGAAATAAAAATGAAATTATAAACTTTAGAGGAATTCATGATAATGAAAACACTTATAGCAAATGCAACTGGACATGCCAAAAAAGTAACCAAGGACATAAAGAATAGTAATAAATAACCTTAGAATTCTACTGGATGGGTACTGTGAAAAAATAACTGTAAAACCATTAGAACCAATTAATTAACTGGAACTTAAGCATTTCAGCAAAATGACTAGACATTACTTTCAATATTTAGATTGCATTCAAGATCTAGCTGAAGAAAACAAATCAAAAAACTTCTAAGAGATAATAAAGATATAAAAAAATCAATGCATGAAAGATTTTATATTGCTAGAAAACAAAAATAACTAGGGGGGAGGGATGTAGGCTCAGTGGTGTTCTGCCTGCCTGGCAAGCACAAGGTACTGAATTTGATTCCCGATACCAGAAAAGAAAAAGGAAATGTTAAAAAAAAAAAAAAAAAATTTAAAATGAGTATTGGTAAACTGAATAAAGACCAATTTAAAAAAATATTAATAATAAAACTAAGAGACATCTGTGATACATGCATTCAAATGGCCAATGGATACATGAAAAATGCTTGGTATCAGGGATCATCAGATAAATATAAATAAAAAAATAATTTAACTTTCTGTAGAACATGAATCTTAGTAAGAATACAGAGCTACAGAAACTTTCATTCCTTATTGGTGTAAATGCGAAACAATACTGTTGTCTTGGAAGATAGCGCGGCAGTTTCTTTTTTTAAACTAAACTCTTATATAATCCACCAATCTCATTCCTCAATCCAAATAAGGTGGAAACTCACATCCACACAAAAGCCTGCTCACAAATATGTAAAAGCTTTATTCTTGACTGCCCCAAAATGAAGCAACCAAGATGCTGCAACAAGCAAATGGATAAACAAATTGTGTGGTTCATCCATACAGCAGATATC